TATATATATATATATATATATATATATATATATATATTATATATGTATGACGAGTGCCCTATAGAGGATTATTCGTTATTTTTCATGATTTGATCTCTTTTATATTTATTCGAATCTACGAATGATCCTTCATTTCGCAGTTTGGGTCGCAATTTCGGATTGCTCTTTTATAAGCTTTTTAAGAATATCGACCGTCGGAGAATGAAACAACAATTTTAACACAAAGTATGTACTTATGTTTGTATATGTGGCGTGCGTACGACGATCGATTTCTACCGTTCATTTAACTATTTATATGACTTATTAAATCTATTCGTTTGTAAGAAGAGTGGAAAAGGAAAGTGCGTTTATTACGACGATTTAGCACTTTAATAACGCCTACCAATCATTTTTTTTATATACAAATTTAACGAAATTTTCTACTCAGAAAATCAATTTTCACATCGTCGTAAAATCTCAATAATATTTTATTTATCATTTATTATCTTGAACGTAATATTAAAAAGAGCAAAATATACAAATTTCGTCTTTATCATTGAAATTCCAAATTTAGCCTCGAGAAGTTTAACGAAACTAGAAAGCTAGAAAAAGTTCTAATGTAATATGCTTATTTAGAAGAATCGAAGTCGACGAAAACGTGTCCAAATAAGAGGAACAAGGACATCGTTATATTCTCGACACGGTGAAAATTCTATTATTATCATAATCGTCATATAATCTCATTATCTTCCTCTCTCTCTTTTTTCTTTTTTTTTCTTTTTTTTCTTTTTTTTTCTTTTTTTTTTCTATCTGTATTTATACCCGTTTTGTAATACGCGCGTGATCCTGGAAAGAAAAAGGATTAGAACGCGAAGAAATACAGCGAACGTTCTCAAAGACGCGAAACAATAATATCGACGAGTGTAAACGACTTTATTTTCAACGTTCGCGTCAAGTCAGTCAGTTGATTTTGTGCCTAGTTAGCGAATAGATCGAGAGGAAGTTTAAATACACACGCGTAGGAGGACAAAAGTAAAGAATAAATTGGATATGCATATATATATACGTGAATAGAATATTCCAAAAGGTAGGAGATAAGGTAAGAGATAATAATCAAATGCCCCGCCAACAAATTTCACGTTTCTCTATAATCCTGTTTAAAAAAAACAAAAAAGCATTCTTCCTGCGTTCGCATAATTGTATCGTTTCGTATCGTATCGTATCGTATTGTATCATCGTTTGGAACGATTTAGGTCGAAATGTTCTTATTTCTTATATACCCCCCCTCTCTCTCTCCCTCTCCCCCTTTCTTAGCTATTCTTTCTTTGGGTTGTTTATCGTTGAAATCATCTTTTTTCGTCGTTCTGTCATTTTCTTAATATATATATATATATATATATATATATATATGTAAGTATCATATA